CTACTCCACCTCTCCATGTATTTATGCCCTTTTACAGCAAAACTTTTTACACCTAGGCAAGGGATTTTTCTTCCCAAACTCAGAATCTGGGACAGATCTCGGAATTACTTGAGCTTATGAATTTGGCAGAAGGAACACAACTAGGTCTCCAAAGGCTTTGTATAACTTCACACATGTTCTGAAAGCCTTGTCTCTACTCCGTGAGTCAGACCTGTGTAACCAGATGGAGGAGGACACAACACAACCCTTGGGAAAGAATGTTCTTGCTTCATCAGAAACCATTAGAGATGAACTATTCACTTATAGATACACATTACATCTACAGTATACGTTCATGAATGTATTAAACTTTGAAAATCCTAAAGCATCAAGTTTCGGATTCACATATGAGCATCTGTTTGACCAATGTCCCTTGAAAACACCAGTATGTGGCTAATGCTGTTTTTCCTTATCCTGCTTGGAACACAGAACCACCATGCGGGTGATTAGAAGGAGTGTAAGAGTTCTTTCTTCTCCTTTTATCTCTGCAATATTTTACATTTTATTGCTATATAAACTTAATTTTTGAAAAAAATTCTGCAGTTAAATGTGGTTTGTGAAGAAGACTATATAATTGTTGTCTCTAAACTTATATGATCTGAAACAAGGCAAGAGGTATGTTGGTACAATATTTTTTTGGTGTGTATGTGTGTGCTGGTAACTGGGGCTTGAACTCTGGATCTAGGTACTGTCCATGAGCTTTTATGCTAAAGGCTAGCCCTTACCACTTGAGCCACAGCTCTACTTCTGGCTTTTTGGTGGATAATTGGAGATAAAAATTTCATGAACTTTTCTGCCCAGGCTGACTTTCAAATAGATCCTCAGATCTCAGCCTCCTGAGTAGCTAGGGTTATAGGAGTGAGCAGCATCCTGTTTTGTTGATACACCCTTAAAAATCCAGGAATGATCACATTTTTCAGATGAGTATCTACCAACATCATGGACCCTCTCCTACCTTCTTTGTGACATGCAAGTAGTTTCAGGGGTTTCTAGGTGGGAAAATTATTCTGATTCTTTATTCTGTCAGATTGTGTACATACCATTTTATAATGTACAGCCCTACAGTATTCTTGACTCCTAAATAGTTTCTATAGGATCTAGTAGGGAAGTCCAACCCTAGGCAGGACAAAGAAAAGCCCCAAAATAACTCTGTCAAGGAAGCAAATGGTTTTGGCTTCATTTAATACAGAGTTGTGGATGTGGGAGAGTAGTACAGATAGGTTGTATGTGTATGTGTGTGTGTGTGTGTGTGTGTGTGTGTGTGTGTGTGTGTGTGTACATGCGTGTGTGTGTGCATTTGCATGTGTATGTGTAGAAGGCCATCTGTCAGCTTGGTGATCCAAAATATAAAGACAAAAACAACACCTATTCATGGAAGTTGGAGACAAATAGGCAAAGGCTGTGGAACACAAAGTGCAGGAAGGGGCCTGGCCAGGGGCTGCTTTGAGAGCAAGTGCTGTCTTTATGTGATGTGGTACAAGAATTTAATTATCCAACATGAGATTTGCATGTAAGGGCATTCATTTGCTGCTTCACTCCTCACACAGTCATTCCTTGCTTATTTTTGTTCATTCATTCCCTCATTCATTCAGTCCCTGAGTAGTTATGCTCTGCCTAGGATAGCCATCATTCCTGTGTTCAATGGACTTTGAGTGCGGGAAGTATGGAGTTAAGGCAATGCCTCTTGGTAAATAATTCAATGCAACAAAATTTATTAAGTCTTTATCCATTGATACAACGTGTTTAGTGACTATATTGATAGAAACAATTAAACTCAGCACTCAATGAGTTTGGCCATCGGCCAGGTTGTATGTGAGCATACTTAAAGGCCCAGTCCCAGGGCTACAAGGACTCACTCGATGTAACAATGTCAGTAATGCAGTCAGAATATGAACCCAGATCTCTCAGTGATCTTGGGAATCACTAATTCTGTGATTAAGGATGATCTAATTTCCAGTTCTATGATGGTTTACAGAGCTGTATGAGACACAAAATCCAATGGCTCTCATAGATACGTGAGGAGAAAATGAGAATCCATTGTGACTATTGCAAAAAGAAGTACTGCAGTAACTCAGAAGAACTGATTGCTCTCTTTGGGGGTAAATAACGCTTCCCTGAAGAGGTGTACAATCACTTAGAGTAGCTGATAATCCCCAGCTCAGAGAAAACTGTTTGCAGGAGAATTACTTGTACAGTAACACACAGAAATCTTCTCCTTTAATCTAATTCACACCTTCTGTTCAGAGCGTTTGCAAAAATGTTTTTCTAATCTTCCAAACAACGTTAAAAAGTGGCTAGTATATTCCTTTTTTGCAGATGATAACACAGTGGTTCAGAGATTGCAAAAAGCCATCTAGGGATCTCAGTAAAAAGCCATGGCAACAGCTACACACCCAGATCTGACTCCGAAGATCAGGCTCTTTTTTTTTTTTTTTTTGTTTATGTGGTGCTGAGGAATCGAACCCAGGGCCTCAAGTATGCAAGGCAAATGCTCTACCACTGAGCCACCTTCCCAGCCCCGAAGATCAGGCTCTTGCTTTTGAAATGGATGGGTGATTTCCCCAAGGAGAGCCCCAGAAGAAAATCTAAATCCCTCCACTGGAGTCAGTGCAGACCTGATGTAACAAAAAGGAACAACAGCAACAGGCCACTGGACATTTTCCCTTCCTGTGGGAACCTTGAAGTTCCACAGCTGATATACATGGGAGTGGGGTTATCTGTGGTTGATTTCTCAGTTTGGATAGAGGGTGGGTGGCATAGGACTGGCAGCAAGATCATAGAAGATGAGAGCATAGAGGCTTTCCAGGGAGTGCATGCTTAGGAGAGCAGAAAGGCTACAAGAAGTCTGGAGGGTAGCAAGATCCCAGAGCAGGTTTGGATGCAGGGACATTGCCTCTGGAAGGCATACATCAATGAGGCCAGTTCCCCGACACATTAGTTACTTTCTTCCAGCTAGGTTAAAAAAAAAACCCTTGAGGGCTGGGAAGGTAGCTCAGTGGTAGAGCGCTTGCCTTGCATGCCTGAGGCCCTGGGTTCGAATCCTCAGCACCACATAAGCAAAAAGAAAAAAGCCGGAAGTGGTGCTGTGGCTCAAGTGGTAGAGCGCTAGCCTTGAGCTAAAGAGCCTTGAGGGACATCGCCAGGCCCAGAGTTCAGGCCCCAAGACCAGACCCCCCAAAACACAAACAAACAAAAAAAAACCTTGAGTAGAACCATGGGTCTCAGGGTCATGTAAAGGTGGTTCAGATCCTACAGGTATCAAGAAAAAGGGGCCCTGGTTCAGCAGAATCTCTGCAGACAGCCTGAGCTGTCTCTTAGGCTTTTAGGAATGGTGAAAAGTCCCCATAGAAACTTGTCATCATAGCAAATACAACTAGGATTCAGAAAACAGCAGGTAGGAAAGCACTATATGCCATTTATACAGCCCAGGTATTTCCCAAGAAAAACTTTTAGTGCCTTTATGTAAAGACTGTTTTGGAGTCAGGAAAAAGAAAATTATCAGGAATTCTCCTATATTCTTTCTACAAGGTAATGCTATTCAACCATTCATTATATGCCATGGTGTCTGGATTTCCCCTTCCAGACCCATGCCTTACTTTTGGTAATAGGAGGATCACAGGAATCTCTGGGAGGTGGAGGGAAAGAAGGAGTATTTACAGAGGAATGACTATTGCAAGAGCACAAAGGCTGGAGTGACATGCTGATGCTCTTCAGAACAGAGGGCCTGAAGGTCACCCCGAGAACACAAATCTTTAAGCTAAGTTGAGATGTTGGGAAAGGATGGCAGAGAGAGTAGGGGAGGGAGTGAAGTCTCTGGAAGCTACAGTTTGTAGGGATGAGCCAGGAGGAGAAAATGAGACTTGTGAGTATAGGGGTCTTTCAGGCAGCCTATCAGTCTAAAGAGCTTGGCTTTTCTCCCCGAATCCCTCCTGGATCTATTAAATGTGGAGATGGTGTGACCAGAATGGCTAATAAATGTAGAAATCAGTGCAGCAAATAGGGCATGTTTCTTCACGAATCTCAACCTGTCAGGGGCAAGTGAGGCAGTCTAGACACTAACTGAATTGAAGGGAACTGTATAATGGGGGCTGGACCAATTGAAACTCAGAGAGAAGACCAGTCCCTAGGGCTGCCTGCACTCTGCATAGAGGTTTTCTTCTGAGTGCCTGTTAGAAAAGTCATACCTCTGATTTCTAGGGCTAGTAGTGGTTTAGAGTAGTATCACAGAACCTGGGCTGTCCCTTCTGGCTCAGATTTCAAGGAGCCCACAAGCAGATAGGGTACATTCGTATCAGACATGGTTGTCATTGTGTACACATCCTGGTATCTCCCCAAACCTGCCACATATGGTGCTTTCCACAAAGCCGTGCTAATTGGCTCTACCCTTAAACACACTAAAGGCTCTGGCCAGTCCTCTGCTGTGGTTCCTTTAAGATGTTTCAACTACTTTGTAATTGGATATGCAATTTTCTTCCCAGAAAAAAAGGTCACTGTCCTGTACTTAACCAGGTATCACAAAGCTGTGGCTGGAAACCTTTGCCCTAGAATATTTTGGACCTGGTTAGACACAGTTGTTTTTTTTTCCCACAGTTCAACTTGTTTCCCTTCATAGGATCAGTCCTTTGCCCCATTAGCTCTTTTTGATCATCCCTATAATCCCTGCCTGTCTACAAGGTAATGTTATTCAACCATTTATTATATGCCATGGTGTCTGGATTCCACCTGCCAGACTCAGAGCTTACTTTTGGTAATAGCTTACTTTTGGACCACAGGAATCTCTGGGCAGTAGAAGGAAAGAAGGAAAGAAAGAGGAATGACTACTGTGGGAACACAAAGGCTGGTGATGATGCCCCACAAAATCATATGGAATATGAGGTTCATACCAGAATAAAGGCTCCTTTTCACAGACCCGAAACCTGTCTTAGCACAGATCTCTTGCAGCAGAGGGAAGATGTACTTACACTTACAGGTTGACTTTTTGGCACATCATAAACACCTTCCTTCTTTTGGCTGGTAGGAACCTATGAGGGAAAAAAGCAAATTCAACTGTCAAAACGCTGGTACTCTTCATTCAAACAACAAAGCAGCCAAATTTCCACTGCAATGTGGCTAAGTAGATTATTAGTTCCTAGGGCAGGTCAGGGCCCAACCCCAATAGGCAGTCCTAACTGTGAAGGCACTCAGCCAGGTTCCTTCCCCTAGTAAAGTCACATGAGAACTGGGGGGAGTACCATGTAGTAGATGGCTGCTATTGGGACTCTTAGAAAGCCACAGAATAGGAAGCTACAGGTACCTCATGCATCATGTAGTGAAAAGAATAATCCTTGTTGGAACAAAGAAAAGACTAAGGCCAAAGAAGGGGTTGTGATTTGCCCAAAGTGGTTATCCATAGCTTAAGAATAGAATGAAAACTTTTCAGGGCTAAGACTGAGATCTAAGTTGTTAAAAAGATAATGAATACCAATCAAGGTCATAGTACAAGATTCACGTATGGACCCTGTGATAATTAGAAAAGGCTTTCCATGAAGAAAAGGGCTCATAAACAGGTAAACATGAAACTAGGTTCTAGAAAGCACTGATTGCTTTACCTGCCATCTTTGGGCATGTATCTGGTCTTTTGCTCACAACCTGAGCAGGCCGCTTGGCATCTTTGAGCTTTGTTACTATCAAATGGCCTCTCAGTTATGCTCTTGGCCAGTTTACATAAGACCAATCCGAAAATAGATATTAGGTAAAGAAAAATATTAGGTTCCCCCAACACTGTGAAGAATGTGATGGGTTAGAATGATAATTTGTCACTGACACATTAAACTTACGCATATGAACACATTTTATATCAACAATAGTCTGTGAAATACTTTTTTAATGAGTCAATCAAAGGACCTGGATTGGAACATTCCAGATTGTAAACACTCATCAGCTGTCCCTTCCCCAGCAGCTGCCACCGCTTACTTCCCACCTCCAGTGGAGGGGCCCAAGGAGCAGTGGATTAATAACAGGCTGATAATGTGACTTTCTTTCCACCAGACTGGGCAATCCTCAAGAGCAGGCGTAGTGCCTCACACCCAGAAGGCACTCCATAAATATCAGCCGGGTAAATGTACCATAAAGGAACATGGGGGATAGTGAAGAAAAAGAAGTATTTGTTAGGCAAGAAGCAGATATCCATACCATTTTTTGAGAGTCAAGAATTTGAGCTTCTACCTTCAGTTCCTTTGTCATTTTTCACTTTCATTTAAGTTAAACATCCTAACAAGCGTGAAGAGTTGCGTTATCATTTCCCTTCTAAACTGCAGAAAGTGAGTCTCAGAGAGATATCACAAACTTTGACCAATGCTTTAATGCCGGTGGCTCTTTCTAGTGGTCAAATAAGTCACTTTTGTCTCTAATAAAATATATATTACATGTTATGTTATAATAAATCATATTATATATTATACACATAGTATATTATACATAAAATATATTTACATACTATGTCTTTGTATATATTTTATACTTTAACTATATTCATGTCATTATCTTTAAGTAGTTGTACAAGGGGGTTACCATTCAACATGTCAGGTTTTTAAGTATTTTTTAAATTGTTATTATACAGGTGATGTACAGAGGGGTTTTAAGTACACTGCATCTTGATTATTCTTAGTAGTATAAGCTAACAAGAGCATGGACTGGCACATTCCATGGGTGGTACTTTTCTGATCATTTGTCATATGCCTTCCCTTAGAATGCTCAGGATAAGTCTATCAAAATGACAATTGTCCCCATAATGCAGAGGAAGAAAATGAGGCCTGGAGAGGATCCAGCAATCAGAGAATGGGACAGCCAGGAGTTGGAGCCTGGAAAGGTTGCCTTTTGATTTCTACACTCTACACACAGCTGGTTCAGGTACATCTTTTCCTTTGACAACACATCCTATATTCCCAGAGGCTGGTGCGCATTCTTGCAGAAAGCAGAGCTACAAGTGAGCTTCCACGGCTGTGTGGAAGATGCCCTTCCTGAGCTGTTTTCACAAACCTCAGTTTGCACGTAGCCAACGAAGAATGTAATTTCTTTGCTACTGGTAACTGGGCTCCATTAAGAAGGAATCCTCCCTGAATGTCTACAGAGTCCTTGCTAACGAGGGCCAATAAATTACCAGCCCTCACTTTTGTTTTTACTAGCTCACCCTTTACTGAGCAAAATGAACATCATTCTGTTGCCCATAATTCACTGCTCACTACGGGCACTTAGCACAGTTGAACCGCGGCTGCCTCTCAATTATCCCTGCAAATGGAGAAGAAGCCATGCGATGGATAAACCCAAACTGTGCATAATTGAAAATGCTTTTCTACTTGGCTCTCCCATGGGTGAGATATCAATCTGCCTGTTTGTCCTTTAAGATTGATCTCAGATGGGACAGCTTCTCGGAAGCCTGGCCTGCCTCTCTAGGCTAGATTTGGAGTCATACTCTGTACTCTATTGTAAACACAAGTGTACAAAAATAACCCCAAATAAATAAAAAATTATTTTTATTAACAAGTCAAAATTTCCAGCCAGGCACTGGGGGGGGGGGGGGGGGGGGTCTCTGGCCTGTAATCCTAGCTACTCAGGAGACTTGTCTGAGGATTGCAGTTTGAAGTCAGCCTGGGCAGAAAATCTGTGAGCCTCTTATCTCCAGCTAACTACTGAAAGGCCTCGAGTGCAGCTGTGGCTCTAGTGGCATAGCAACAATGCTGAGCAAAAAAAGCTAAGGGACAGCACCTAGGCCCTAAGTTCAAGCCCTAGTTACTGACACACAAAAATAAAGTAAAATAAAATAAAAATGTCTAAGTACCTATTCTGTGTCATGCACCGTACCTTTCATGGGATGAGGATGCTAAACAAGATGGGTGTAGCCTTGATACTGTAGCAGAGCTTCTGGTCTGGTTGGGGAGATGGAATTGTCACCAGGCTACTCAACTAGAGTATAAAATAGGCTTTAGCTTTTCATGGGAAGTATAGCACTACATAGTAACTGTTCATGGTTGCTTTATTATCCTATAAATATTGGTTAAACAGAGATAGGACTGATCATCCAGCATTTACCAATGGGTGTTTTGGCCCTCGCTCCCTTCTCTGAATATCTGATCCATCCAGTCTACATAGACTACTGCAGTACCAAAATAAAAAATTCAGTCACAAAGGTTAGGAAATATTTGGTTGCTAATCATGGCTCTGCTCTAGGCTGTGTGATATGGACAAGTCACTTTGTTCTCTAAAACTCACTTTTCCTTATCTAGTTGTCATGAGACTTAAGGAGTTGCTTCTGAAGTCCACAGAGAAGAGGACCATGTTCTCAGAGGTCTAGAATAAGCTAGGTGCTCATAAAGAAGTTGATGAAAGACTTTACAATACTCTAAATTCTGCACCTTACGTGCTGTTCACAGAGGACACTTTGGCAAGCCCTTCAAGGGTTGTTGGGTGGCATAAAAGTAGAGACTCAGCTGGAGGTTTACAACTGTAACCTTACATAATCAGGAGGCTGAGATATGAGGATTGCAGTTTGAAGACAGCCTGGGGGAAGAAAAGTCCATATGACTTATGTTTCCAATGAGCCAGCAAAAAAGCCAGAAGTGGAGGTATGGCTCCAATTAGCCCCCAGAAAACTGGAAGTGGCACAGTGGTAGAGTGCTAGCCTTGAGCAAAAGAGCTTGGGGACAGTGTGTCCAGGCTCTAGGTTCAAGCCCATTGACTGACAGAAAAAAAAAAGCAAGGTCAAGAGAGATTTCTGGCAGTCTCTGTGGGTTTTTCTTCACTCAATACATACCATAAAATCTGGCAAGGGCATTGATCTTGACCACAAGGGAAGCGAAGGAGCGTTTGTATGGAAGCTGTCATGGCCCAGATACCACCTCCTTGCTTCACTTCTCCTCACATAACTTCCAGAAGCAGGTAATGAATTACCCTTGTTTTATGGCCCAGGAAATGGAGATACAAAAATTATATACTTCATTCAATGCTACAAAACAGTAGTCTCAGGTCTATTTGCCTTTCTCCAGAAAACACAAGGGCCTAGCTTGTAATAGAAGGAATATTACCACGGACTCAGGAGGAATAGTTATGCAGCATTTACTAGCCTTTAAAAAAATGAGAAAGAGGCTCTTAATACGAGTGCCTTAAAAGCCCTGCTTATCTTCAGGTCCAAAGCTTATCTCTTGTTAAGTACATTGAGCCCAAGCAGGCTGATTGTGCAGGAGAGAAACATGACCCCAGGCCTTTCCAATAGATGGGATAAAATATTCATTTCCTTAAATGATGCTGTCCTGTTAATGATGGACAGATGGGGAGATGGAGAGGGCAGAGTTGTTAAAAACAAGTGTGATTTTTTTTTTAGATAGTGACTTAAAGCATGATCAGAATCTAATTGGGAAACTCAGGATCAAGTAACTGAGTTGAAAAGAGCTCCAGGATTTATTGGTTTCTTTATAAAGCTCAAAGAGACCTGTCTATGGAGATCCTAGCTGTCCCCAGCCCTGTGACCCTGGCAGATGGCATCTCTCTGTGAGCTTCACTACAGGGGTAGAAGGGGGGAAGAGTACAAAAATGTTGCATACAAGTTCTCATATGCAGAGCCAGCCCACAATCAGCATACATGAAGCCCCCTTTCTAAAAGTCTTGTTACACTAGAAAGTAATCCAACCCTTCGAAGATCTAGAGTCCTGTATTGGCTATTGCTTGTGCAAGAAGCAGTAAATGGGCTTTCCTGAGAGATACTTGAGCCCAGAGAAAGAAGCTGACAAGTTGGATCAGTAGCTGAGATTTGACCTGACAAGAGTGTCCATATTTTGTGCCCAAAGATGACTCTTCGTCTTTATATTCCACACAGGAGCTGGTTTCCTCCTCACACCAACTTGTAAGTCAAGGAGGAGAGATGTTCCCCAACTTAATCATTGGGGAAACTGAGTCTGGGAGAGAATCTGTCCCACTACCAAAAACTAAACATTGTTGGTGACAGCCAAAACCGTAGCCCAGCTTTGCACCAGCCTAAGCCAGCACTTTCTATAACACTGAAAGGCTTCCTTGTTTCCATGAGGCTCAGCTAAGAGCTAAGCTGATTGCAAACCAGCCTCTCTACAACTTGAGGCAAGCTTTCAACCCCCTTTTATACTGGTTATTTTCCAATTAGAGCCTTAACCTTGTATGGGGGACAGGTTGAGATGTGATCCTCTTTCCTTTGTTGCTGGGATAGCAACCACACTCCGCTGCACACAGCCATTGAGTGAGATGGAGTCTCAGTGAACGTTTACACCCTGGATGGGCACCAGCCATGATTCCTGATTCCCTGTCTCTGCCACAGGCTTGAGCTATCAGATCTGGCTAGTAGCCTCTCCTTGGGCAAAGCTACATTGTGATTAAAAAGGAACTCTGTTTTTCTAGGATGGTGGATTAATGGCTCTTAGTCCTCTGCATCAAACACCTCAGAGTTGCACGCTCCTTTAAAATCCAACAGTGGATACAACTGCAACTTCCTATAGACAGACATATTCTAAATGATGACTAAACAAAACCTCAGAGCACAACTTCACATTTGACTAGAATCCAGATGGATCCAATGGAGAAAAACACTTAAATTATTATTCCTACAGGCTGGTTTTAAAGCAAGTTGTTGGTAGAATTAACATTATACTTGGTCATTTAGAATTCTACACATTTGATAGAAATTAAAAAAAATATGTTTAACTTTTATTTCATAAGTAATGCAAGCCCAAGGCAGAATAATAGACCACACAATTAAGTCAATTAAGGAAATGAAAATCACTGATTAAATGCATTAAATCTGTTCCTTCTCCCATAGTGTTTATGCTTTAAATTAAGACTAAAATTCTAATTAGTGACAAATTGCAGGTCGTTGTATTTATTTGATGTGCAGCAGTTCCAATTCCTGGGTAGAAGCTGGAGGAACCCAAGCTTTTCCTTTGCTCCCGCTGGGGTTGAAGTCTTGGCCCTCAGAAGCTGTTCAACCTCTCTGAGCCTCAGTTTCTTCCTATAAAAGCAGGATTCAACTACTGATTTTATGATTTAGTTTGTGAGAACAAAATGAGTTTAAAAGGATGTTTGGTACTCTTTCCCTAAGTAGATAGTTGAGATACTAATTTACCCTTTCTTTAGCAATGACTAAATCTTTAGCCCTTGTTTCTTTTATTCTATGAGGACTCTCAATATTGGTTCACATATCAGTCTTGAATTTGTCCCTTATTTCAGTGGTAGAGATGGCTTTTAAAAGAAATTTGATGAGTATATTCTTTTGAGAAGTGAAGGACTCCACTGACTGCACAGTGGGTAAATCTCTAGTGCATTACTTTCAGACAAGAATGAGAATGTCTGGTTTTTGCTTTTACTTAAAATAGCTACGATCCATTCAAAAGTAAAATGTTGTTTCTAACTGTCCATTAACGATTTCAACAATAAGGTATAAAAGCTAGTGGCAGATTGCTGGGGGACTGGAAGCCAATGTACTCAAAGATATTTTAACAATCTAGGAATGTCCAAGAGACCCTTCTCTACTTAGAATTGTCAGTGTTTTATACATTTACTGGTGGTGGTACAAGGATAAGAGGCAAGCAATCTTATACCTGGTAAATGTTTTCTTCCGTTTCAGGATCACGGATTGGCTCGTGTCCAGCCTCAAACACAATGTACTATGACAGGAGCAGCCAGAGAGGAAGGATCAGAGGTAGAAAAGGAAGAGGGGGAAAAAAGCATTCAAGATACAAAAAAGAATTCAAGATACAAATCACAGCAAGCATTATAGAACAGGCACAAGAGAAAAACACCTTGAAGAAACAAACATCTGGATTACTGAAATAAAATGAGTGTTGTTGAATTTTCTGGCCTTTCTAAGAAAAACCTGCAGAAATTTGATGCCCAGTCCTTTAGCACTGATGGGCATGGGTCCCTGGAGGTTTTTCTGGAGACATGAGCTCTTGATTAAGTGGCACTTTTGTCTCAGAAATATGCTGCTACTCCTACTTCATGGAATGCCTGGAACCCCAACTTTGTTATGGTGCCATTGAGTTTTCTCCTTTTGTTCTCTAAAGCCCAAGGTCTTAGACCAATCCCAAACTCCTTTAGGTAAATACCCTTGTTTTATGGAGTCAGTTTTAAGTATTGAACATTGTTTTTTCCATGCGTATGTTTTAAGCTCTAAAGACCTAGCACATTTCCAACAGGTAGGCAGGGACTGAAGCTCATGTTACAAACATGATACCATGCTACACTCAGAGGCAAAGGTGTGTCACTGAAGCATGTATTACCAGTGCATCTTTGACTTGTGCTTGCTATATGAGCACAAGATATTTCTTCCCTTTTTACTTGTCCATTTTGTTTTGTTCCTAATAGTACCAGCCTTGTGTGTTAAAATATACATCAATAAGAAATACATACATAACACATATATAGAACACTTATATATACTAGTTACAATGATAAGTTGGAGGTTTTCTTTTATGTTCAAAAAGTCAGGAATTTTTTTCTGTCGTCTTTCTCTCTTTAGGACTCAGCATGGGGGAGGGAGATCCTCCTTTTCTTTTTCTCTGCAGCTCTGTTTGCACAGAGCTTGGACTTGGGCCCAAGAGAGATCATCTCTACCCACCCTCAGACCATGAAGAGAACTCAGAGAAAGCTCCAGGCAGAGATGTCTCTGGAATCTCACTCTCTCTGTCCTCCCATCAGCTCTGTGGGATGATGGTCCAGGTGGTGGTCAGAGGGTCAGAGGGTCAGACTGCACCACTGAGTCAGAAATACTCCTACTTCTAGCCTCATTCAAAGCTCACAAACCATTCTTAAGGGTTGTGCTCAAATGTCACCAAAATGTCAGCCCCATCTCTAATTCTTAGCTTTAGAGAAGGCACCTCATTATTCATCTTCTCTCTAATGAAGTCAGAATATTCAAGACACTCTTGAAAACATTCAGCCCTGGGATCAAACTTTTATAGATTGTGGGGGAGGCTGAGGCAGGGGCAAGAAGGGAGAAGCGAATTTCCAAATCCCACTTTACACTTGCTGGCTAAGTGTTTGTTAGTAATGATCGAAATTGACTGCTGGAAGTGCTGGCAGCCCTCACCCTCAGGAACCATCTTGGTCTCTCTCCAGGCTTTGCAGCCAGTGCATTCTTAACATTTCTGTCAAAATGGCTTCACCATAGGTGTAGCCACTGCAACACCCCAAACACAAATTCATGTCAGAAATTACCTGATATACAGGGTCTTCTACATCCTCTTCCAAAATTGTCTATCGCAGTGAGGAAGGGGGAGGGTATAAAGCAGAAGATAACAGAGGGAGAGATGTGAGCTTGCATTCAGAAATCACAGGACAGTAGAGAAAACAGCTCTGGGTAGGCGAAGCTGGTGGGTCATGAATGCAGAACATGCACAGAAAAACGGAAACTCTGCCACTAACCCTGCACCCTCCGCCCCCTTTGTTTACACCAGCAAAAGCAATTGTGTGTGTTCGGTCTTCCCCCTGCCCCCCAAATCTTTCCCTAGCTTAGAGATTTTACTTGGACACAGCTGGAATTTCTGAGACGAGGGGGCTGTGAGGATACCTGTAGTTTACACAGGAACCTTCCATTTTTGTTGATTTCTGTCTGGCAGCAGGCAAGGGCCTGTCTGTCAGTGTTCACATCCGACAGTTCCAAGTTCCCACCTCTCAGAGCACCAGGATAAATTCACAGCTCTACCTGGTACACAGCTTGTTCACACTGCTTATCCTTCTGTGCCTTTTTTTCCAATTCTTCTCTTTGCTTCAGTTCATAAATGAGTTGAAAGAGATCTCTCAAGTCCAGAATAACAGGTTCAGCCTGGAGTAAAAAGTAGAACAGTGCATTAATAAGGGAATGATGTGAAACTGCAGCCACCAATTTCTGTTTTTACTTTCCTTTTCCTTTTTTTTTTGGTGGTTACAACCCACAGCCCTTCCTTTTTCTATTAAACTGAAAGCCTCCATTCTTAATTAATTCTACCTTGTTTATATTGGTTTAGCAAATTGCATCTAGGCTAAAGTTCGTTTCTCCAGCTAATTATATTTGCAAATTCATAATAATCATAAGCATAAAAGGCATTGCTTTTATTTATTAGTGATTTCGAATACAATGAAATTAGGGTAGACCACATGCAAAAGAGCTATTTGTTTTCCCGTATTTTCTTTTTAAATCAGGCTATGAACACAAAGAAATTTATTTGTATACATGACTCTATCTGGTTTTAATCAGAAAAGAAAATAATTAGTCATTAGGAAATACCAATTGCAACTTAAAAACAAAAACAAGAACAGTAACAGAGTATACGTGTGTTTGCTTGCTTCCTGGCTATTTATCTTTTCTAGGTGGGTATCTGAGCGGCCACCGGAGGTGGTGATCGTTCACAGTGGGTCACAAGTCAGACCAGAAGAGGTATACTGCACTTCTCCAAGGAATAAAGAAAGGTGCCCTCCTTATGTGAATACTTACCGCCTGGGCTGTTTTTATGGCCACAAATCTGTGATTCCCTTCCTTCCCACAAACATATCCAAAGGCCCGGTGATCTGTGATGTCCTTGGCAATGTAGGAGATTTCATGAACAGCATGATGATGTTGAAGGGCCTATCAGAGACAAAAAGAAGAATGCATTTCAGGGAGCCTTCCTTCTGATCTGGGATCAATAAGAGATGTGCTTCCGTGAAAGACTCAAAGGGTTTTTGAAAAGCTGTTTGGTCCAGGTGGAAGGAAAAATAGCTGTGCGTGCCCTTGAGAAATGGAGGTTCCACTCCATGGTCTCAATGCTGTGACCAGAGATGGAGAAGACAGGTGCCCAGTGAGCATCTGGGAAGGTGGCTTCATTTCCCTTGCCAGAGCTACCTAGTCTAATTCAGACAGTATGCTTCTGCTCCGTCTGTCTTTATGACATAGCCCAGGCCAAGCTGGGGCTTGATACTACCCACCCAGGCTCTGTGTACTGCCTCCAAGGGGTACCCTGAGTAACTCCAGAGGGTGCTCTGAACTTTCCAAAACTTTGCGTGATTATATCACGTTCCTGGCCAGTGATGGCACTAGACAAAGAATGAACAACTTCTCTATTTTGTCTGAAGTCGGCAGTTGGAAGTAGGCACATGACTCTCTAAGTCTGGGTCTTACTGTCTTATAGTATGTATTATTGTTTTTTTCATTGGTAGGGCTTGAACTCAGGGGCCTCACTCTTCCTCAGCTTGTTTGCTCACAGCTTGTGTTCTACCAACTTGGGCTGTGCCTCCAGCAAAGCTTGTTGCTGGTTGTTTTGGAGTGGAGTTGGACAGTGTTTTCTGTTCAGGCTGGCTTTGAACTGAGATCCTTCACATGTCAGCCACAAGAGTTGCTAAGTGTAAGCCACCAGCGCCTGGCTTGTAATGTCCTTTCTTACCCACCTGCTCAAACCCCTTTTGTCTTTCAAGGGCTACTTGCAATAACACCAGGTCCTCAATATTTGCCTTTAGAAAAGCTAATCTCTTTCTCTGATGGGATATTTCCTCCCTCCAGAGTTTCTACAGAACTCCTGGTGGAGTGCTCACTCACAATAGCCTGAGCTTATTTTTTCTACAGGTTTTCCTTTCCAGATGTATTTGCCTGATTCCTTGTCCATCTTCCCCCGGGGTTCTGTCTTCCTTGTCTCTGCCCTCTTAGCCACTTGTACCAGGTTACACCATAGCTGCTGAATTCAGGTAAACTGGGATTGATGATGAGTATTTTGAAAATCTTTTGAAGTTGACCTTTTGGTCTTTATTTTCTGTCCTTATTTTCTACGTTTCAAAAAATAATGTTCACCAACCTATTAGGATCTTTATGTTTATTTTCCTCAATAAATTATCTTATAACAATCTACATTAGACAGTACTTTGTACAAGGCTATAGATATAACTGCATGTTTGTGATATGTTAAAATCCTTATAATGGACTGTCTGTTCATATCATATCAGGTACCAAGAGATTTGAATTCTAGCATTTGTAAAGTTCCTGGCATCCATCTCCGGATCTCCATTTATTCTTCTAGCAAATGAGAAGTATGCAATAGATCAAAGGTTCCAAACCCAAAGCCAAGTACAGATAGCTCATGCCGGTAATTATATATGGACAAAGTTCAGGGCCAGTCCAGATGCAAAAGTTTACTCAATTATACTTCCAATATAACCAGCAAAAAGCTGAGATGCAGGTGCTGCTAAAGTGGCAGAACACCAGCCTAGCAAGTTGTAGGTCCTGAGTTCAGACTCTAATACTGCCAAACAAAAAAAAAAGGTTTCTTACTCAAAATCCGCACAGGGATCCTTAAAGATAAAAAAAAAGAGGCACCTAATAAATGTCAAAATTTCCAAAGTGACACAAATATTTAATTATTCCTAATATGTTTATACATTCCTTTGTGAAACAAATTCTTCCTCATAAGTTTATAAATTTCTTTGTAATTACTCCATAAACTATAGCATCTTGTGCCTGTTATGAAGTCATGTTTGGGTTCCTACTGTGTAATTTTTTTTCTTGATGCTTCAGTTTTAAGCGCTGAGCATATTTTCAGAGCCCCAGTCACAGCCAACTTCTAAAGAGACTTACTCATTGACAGTAAGCTACCCTCTGATGCTCAGAACACCTCCAATCTAGAGTCCCTGCCCATAAGAACTTGAGGACTAGCAAGTCCCCTTGGAAGCCTCTTTTTTATTTTTTGGAAAAGGCTCTCACTGTGTAAGTCAAGCTGACGAGAAACTCTTCAAGTACCCATGCTGGCCTTGTACTTTTCATCCTCTGGCCTCAGTCTCCTCAGTGGTGGGATTATAGACATGTACTATATACCCAGGTAAATGACTTAAATTATTGTTTTGCTGTGTTTTATCTCTGTTATCTAAATGCCTGAAAAGCAGCAGGTAAGGTGGAAAATCCAGGAGTCTGCTACAAGGGAAAAATCAGTGTTCACTGGGATTGAAGATATTGAAGATACCCAGGGACCTAAGGATCTATATTTGACAGTGTACAAAGGAAGGAAAGAAGAATCCATTGGTCATATTGACAGGCCATGGGAGTGTGTAATGAACTTCTGGAATCTTCAAGCACAACACACAGGAAACCTTATGATTTGAGTCATGATCAAGTCAGTCAGGAAGCTGGGTTAATTTTTCTCAGACAATGTGGGCTGGGTCTTTAAAATCATATTTTCAGTGTGTGGGAATGTGGATTCAGGCTAGACTATTGGTAAAGTGGGAAGTTATCAATCTATCATAACGTCAAGTTTCTTGTATTTTGCACTCCCTTAGGGAAGGGTAGAGATTCAAGAGAAGTTGGACTCAGGATTTAGATATGCAGACATAACCCTAGTCTTTTACATCCCTGTCTCTTAGGTGATCTAGGTCTTGAAGGAATGACAGTCTTGGAAGGAACAGAGGTCAAAGTGGAATTTGTAGAAGTGGTAGAATTTGTTATTCCTCTTAAAAGAAGCTTTTAGGTAAGACAATCGCTTTTCTTACATTGAAATTTTTTTTTAAAAAAATTGATATAACTTCTGAGAAAACATTACATCTGTTTACTGCTCTTATTATTCTTTAGCTTGTATTTCAGTAATTAGTTATGGCTTAAACAGTCTCCTTCCCATCCCCCACCCCCGCAAAATGAATGATATAAATGAAGTATCTTAGTGGATCAAATCTTTCCTATTATTGAGTTGATGGAGGGTGGGAAAAATACAACACAGGGGAGGTTGGTTAGGGAATGAAAACAACAAGGAATTGCTAGTACCTCCCATCTCAAGGCAGCCTCCCACTGTAGGGGCCTCTGGCTTTCATGGGCCTATTACCTTAGTTTTAGAACAGTCTTCTTCCAAAATGGTCAATCCTTATCACACTGAAGTCTTATCAACCGCCTGATCACACAGATGCTCTGCTGTAACAGAACTATTCAGCTTGCCCTACCCTTTCAGGGTTTAACCATTTGCTCACCTCTCTGACTACTTATAGAGTCTTCCCTGGATTTCAGAACCTGCTAGGGCTGCTTACTGGCCTCTAGACCTCACACTTTGAGGACGGTGTGATTGCCCTCAAATGGGAATGAGATACTACATACTTCTAATGGATTTTGACACAAATAAATGGAGGAAGTGTCTGTCAGTGAAATAATTAGGATCCACTTGTTTTTGTTGTATCAAGAGGATATATTTAGCTAGCAGAGGAAATTTGTTCAAAGAGCGGGTAGCTTTTCCATGGTGTTAATGATGTAAAATTGATGAGATTTATATTCACACGACATGGGGGCATTGATTTATAAGCTTTTGTGAGCTAGAATGGCATGCCACAGAGGAAAATAGGAGACAAAGGCATTCTTTTCTTCTCTTCCTCTCCTGAAAGTATTTCTAACTCTGCATAATGTGGAGAATGTTATCCGCGTCTCCTATTAAATCAAAGTTTGACGACAGTGCCTTATTGATTGCCAAGTAGAATATTGCTCTAAAATTAAACTGCGATTAGAAGTCTTCCTGGTGGAATTAGATTTGGAGATGTGCAATGGTAAAATATCACCTCCCATGCAAGACAGCAGCTGGAGATGTTTTAATTTATCTGGGAATCCTCATTAAGTGCTTTAGAATCAAAATATTTTTAATGCCTGACAAGACCCAATATTGCCTTTGCAAAGTGTAGCTGTGGGTGCACATGCATGAAGCACTCCAAGATATCTGGAGCATTATCTTTTCCTGTAGTTAATTTTATGACATGTTAAAAGGGAGTGCTTTGAAAGTATCTCATTCATTTGGAAACTAACAGTCAGTGAGGGAATGTATCTCCACTTTCCTCAACCTTAACTATGCAGACATAATACAGACACTTAGAGATACAAATACATTAGAATTCGGCTAATCCCATAGTTGTAGTACCACATTCATTTTAGCAACTCAGAGCCCACTTGTTCACTGAGCCTCAAAATTGCCCCACGTCTTCAAGTAGATTTAATCAGTACAATCAAAGACACTTGGAGCCAGAAGGAAACTTAAACATTATGTAGTTCAACTCTCGAGTTTACTCATGAAAGGATTCAGGGTCAGAGATTGTACTGGCAGAGCTGGGATTAAACCCAAGCCTTCTCTTTTCTAGTCAGGATGACAAAACACTGTGAAAAGAACAGGATTATGAAGAATTAAGCTCTCCTTTCTTCAGGCTACTGGTTCTCTAAGAGTCAACCAAAGGATAATGACTCCTGATGAGCTGGAATATGAAAGCAAGGGAAATGGAGAACAAGACAGCAGGTAGGACTGAGGCTGTTGGGATTCTTGCAGGAATATGAGGTCAGAAAGTCACAAGTGTAAAGTATCTCAGAACGAAAGGTTGAAGCAGCATGACCCTGAGTTTATTTAAAGAACACTTAGAGCTTCTGATTTTTCTGAAAGTATTTTTGAGCCAGGCGCTGGTGGCTCATGCCTGTAATCCTAGTTACTCAGGAGCTGAGATCTGAGGATCACAGTTCAAAGCCAGCCTGGGTAGAAAAGTCCATAAGACTCTAATATCCAATGAACTACTCAGAAAAATACTGGGAATGACTTTGTGGCTTAAGCACTAGCCTTAGCACAAAGAAGCTCAGGGACAGCACTCAACCCAGGACTG